GATGTGCGTGCCTTCTTCACGTGTGCGTGCATTCTTCACGGTGTGCGTGCATTATTCACGGTGTGCGTGCCTTCTTCACGTGTGCGTGCATTCTTCACGGTGTGCGTGCATTCTTCACGGTGTGCGTGCATTCTTCGCGGTGTGCGTGCCTTCTTCACGATGTGCGTGCATTCTTCACGGTGTGCGTGCATTCTTCACGGTGTGCGTGCCTTCTTCACGATGTGCGTGCATTCTTCACGATGTGCGTGCATTCTTCACGGTGTGCGTGCCTTCTTCACGATGTGCGTGCATTCTTCACGGTGTGCGTGCATTCTTCACGGTGTGCGTGCCTTCTTCACGATGTGCGTGCATTCTTCACGGTGTGCGTGCCTTCTTCACGATGTGCGTGCATTCTTCACGATCGGTGCTCGCGAACAGCGCGCGCGGCCCTGCAGCGCGCGCAGATTCGTTCGCTGCGAGTCCCGCAGCTGCGTCCGTGGGGGGCGAGGGGTCGCCTCGTTCAGAGTCACCCCCAGCGGGGCGGGGTGGTGGTGATGTCCATTGCGCGATGACAGTGATGGTAATAATGACGGTGTCTGTGGCCTGGTGATGCATGATGGTGATGATGATGTCTATTGAGTGATGGTGATGATGTCTATTAAGTGATGGTGATGCTTGTTGTCGTTGATGACGATGTCAAATAATTATGGTGTTGATGTTCATTGGTAATTAATTGATTATAACGTTCAATGAGTGATGTTGCTGTCGATGGAAGATGATGTCAGTTGATTATTAATGATTTATTATCATAATGATAATGGTTGTGATGTTTATGATTGTGACGCTGTCGATTTAATTATTAAAATGATCATGAAGCTGTGTATTAAGGATGAAGATGGTTGTGATGATGTTGATTGGTTATGAACCCATGATGCTGCCTATTGATTATTGGTGATGATTGTGAACGATAGATGATGATGACAGTGCATATTTATGATAAGGATGATTCCGATTGATGTCGATGATTATGATGATGCCTCTTATTGATGACTCAACACGTGGGTTTTCGCGTAATTCATTAGTTGGTTAGGCTACGTGATGATGGTATTATTTAGGAAAGCACTGATGTGATCATCATTACTTTGAGTGATGATGATTTTAATGACAATGGTGGAGCGACAGTCACGAAATCTATTCTCCATCGACAGCATGGTGATCATTCAAATCAACATTATCACAGATACCAGTCAATATTCTTTTTTCATCATTCAATTATCATCCTCAATAGACAGCAACATTATCATAAAAAGACATCAGTGTCAATAACATCCCCATCATAATTTCATTATTATAGCCATCATCATACAAGACCGATAGAACGTCTCTTTGTCATCATCATGCCAATGGCACCTTCATCAATTAATAGAGGGGCCGTCATCATCATCACCACCATCATCAGTTGCGCCGTCGCCCTTCATATAACCACGTGACACCCAATTAACATTGCCATCTCAAGGGACACAGAGACACAATCACCATCAGCAGTATCATCGTGACCATTATCAGCAATATCCATGAGCAATCCACTGCTGGATGAAGGCCTCCCCAAACCGTCGCCACCTCCCGCGTGACCCAGCGATGCCACACTCCGTTACCAGCGCGAGCCGTGATAGTGACGATGGTGGAGGTCCCATGATGTGTGGATCGTCATTCAACGAGCAGTGTTGTGCTGTCCGCGGTTGTGGCGCGTACAGCGTTGACAGCAGCATCATCGTCAGCAACATCATCATCAGCTAGTACCGACTATAATCACGCAGGAATGTCTGTCCTTAACGCTCGTGACGTCACTCCACATCGACCAGCCCCCCCTCACTAATAATCATGAGCACCCCCCATTAATAATAATAATTAGCGGGTGACGTCACTCCACATGGGGGGCGAGGCGCCTCCTCCCCCCTCCTCGGCGTCAACTCACAACCCTCACCACAAAGGCAGAACCCTCACGTCACGAGATCTCCGTAACGCTGTTGAGACATCGAAGTAAAAAGGACGTCGTGATGATGAACGCGGGATGATAACCTTCACATGAACTCAGTCTGTGTCACCGCGCCCTTACAAGCTGCACACGAATGGATGCAATGCATATCACGTCGCGGGCTGCTTTTCACTTGCAAGTTTCAGATTTACTGCAATACACCCGTCCTTGGACGGGCAAAAGGCGAGTAATGATGATTTGGCAACATCATTTGCGAATCTGTGAAGATGCTGCGGATTAATATATTCAGGTAGAGAAAGAAAAAGATGGGGTAGAGAAAGGTCTCGGAGATTCAATGTCGTGGAACCCGATTTGAATGTAAACACAATGATGCTGATGATAATGAGGCGATCTACAAAACAAGGCGCGCAGAGATCCAGAGCAGAGCACGTGACCCGCGTGCACGGGCGGCGAGACACCCTGGGGGGGCGAACTTTTCCCAAAGCGCACCCAATCAATGTGCGCCTTTACACGGTGCACCCAATCAATGTGCGCCTTTACACGGTGCACCCAATCAATGTACGCCTTTACACGGTGCACCCAATTAATGTGCGCCTTGACACGGTGCACCCAATTAATGTGCGCCTTTACACGGTGCACCCAATCAATGTGCGCCTTTACACGGTGCACCCAATTAATGTGCGCCTTTACACGGTGCACCCAATCAATGTGCGCCTTTACACGGTGCACCCAATTAATGTGCGCCTTTACACGGTGCACCCAATCAATGTGCGCCTTTACACGGTGCACCCAATTAATGTGCGCCTTTACACGGTGCACCCAATCAATGTGCGCCTTTACACGGTGCACCCAATTAATGTGCGCCTTTACACGGTGCACCCAATCAATGTGCGCCTTTACACGGTGCACCCAATCAATGTGCGCCTTTACACGGTGCACCCAATCAATGTGCGCCTTTACACGGTGCACCCAATTAATGTGCGCCTTTACACGGTGCACCCAATCAATGTGCGCCTTTACACGGTGCACCCAATTAATGTGCGCCTTTACACGGTGCACCCAATCAATGTGCGCCTTTACACGGTGCACCCAATCAATGTGCGCCTTTACACGGTGCACCCGAGCAAAAGGTGAGTATGGGGTCTATAAACTAAACTATTTTTTAGCCAATTAAGTGGCTTATCTTGTGGACATGTATATCAGCCAAATACTCTCAACGCATGTTTCTAATTGTGAAGATAAAACCCGGAGGACCCGGAGAAAAAATCCACGCGACTACGGGGAGAACATGAAACTCCAAATATACAAACGTCGGGGTCGAACCCACGACCTCACGTATACCAAGGAAGCTCGTTAACATCTCGCCACCGCAGCGCGCCTGTGTGAGTCTGTGGGTCTGTATGTGAGTGACTGGTGAACGGCCCGAAACCGTCAACCCACTCGGCATGAGAAACCGGTTTTATCACGGGCAGCGGCTGAAACCCGGACGGGAACTCAGGTTTTCAAAGTCTGCGACCTCTGCAGTCCACACGAGGGCGGCCTCTAGCAGCCACCGCACGACTCGCCTCCTCCGCACGCGTCTCTCTCTCTCCATGTCAGACAAGAGACGCATTTGCCCAAAACAATTATATCTGTGAATAAGATAATCATTTTACATCTTATTTTGGTGTTTTAATCAAACATATTTTTAATGTCTCATAAATTAACACTATAAGTGTTTATAGTATGAGTACAGTTTATATATATTTTTTATATAAAACATTTGTTACAGAGGCGAGGACGTTGTCTGTGCGAAGGCTGCGCAGGGCGGGGCTCCCGCACGGCGCTCAACTCACGGCCCGAGGGCGCTGTGGCCAGTGGCCACCATGGGTACTGCGAGCACCGCCCACACCCCATTGGCACCGCCCACACCCCATTGGCACCGCCCACACCCCATTGGCACCGCCCACACCCCATTGGCACCGCCCACACCCCATTGGCACCGCCCACCCCATTGGCACCGCCCACACCCCATTGGCACCGCCCACACCCCATTGGCACCGCCCACCCCATTGGCACCGCCCACACCCCATTGGCACCGCCCACACCCCATTGGCACCGCCCACCCCATTGGCACCGCCCACACCCCATTGGCACCGCCCACACCCCATTGGCACCGCCCACACCCCATTGGCACCGCCCACCCCATTGGCACCGCCCACCCCATTGGCACCGCCCACCCCATTGGCACCGCCCACACCCCATTGGCACCGCCCACACCCCATTGGCACCGCCCACCCCATTGGCACCGCCCACCCCCCATTGGCACCGCCTACCCCCCATTGGCACCGCCTACACCCCATTGGCACCGCCCACACCCCATTGGCACCGCCCACACCCCATTGGCACCGCCCACACCCCATTGGCACCGTGGGCACCACAGGCACCGCAGGCGGTCAGTGTTCGAGGGTTCGGATTGCGTGGGTCAGACTCCGTCCCCAGGGCACGGGCGTAGCTGCGGAGTCACCGGCGGGGAGGCGCGAGGCGTCGTGGCGCGGCTCGTCGCACGCGAGGATCCGGGGGCCGGTGCCGTGGGGAGCGCCGCGGAACGCGACGGGGCCCCCCCCCCCCCCGCGGTCAGCGCCGTGCCAACAGAACCGGCGGAGCGCAGTCTCCGCTCATTGCAGAGGCTTGCGATTCCGATGCAGCTGGCCGCCCTGGTAAATACGGCGAGTGTATTAACCGTGAAATACTATGCGCAATCTGCTTGAATGGACTTTAAGGATCCCGTGACATCATTCGAAAAGAGTAGGCCATTGTGTGCTGGCGTCATGGTTCAAATTTGAAAAATGATATCTAAAATGAGTCAATGAGGATCACACAGCGGCAACATCCCCCCAACTGTGAAGCAACCGCAGCCCCGTGTCCCACGTGAAACACAGCGGCACCTTGCCGCCCGACAACTGCCTCACGCTATAAGCACAGCGTGGATAGCACGCATGGACGACGTTGCTGTTGAAACAAAAATATAAGAAACGTGCTTCAGTTTGTGAGGTTGACCTTACACGTGACTTTATTTTAAGAACATTTCGCTGGACATAACACAAGCAGCAGTGTGCGTGTTTGATAGAGCGAGGCCGCGTGCAACGTCACAGCAACGCAACTCCCAGTCGCTGCATCGGCGCTTCTCAACCACTCCACCACAATCGGGGAAATGGAAACTAAACTCGACACAGCGCCCCATCGCAAGTCTTCACGTCACCCAAGTGACTCTGATAAAAATTAAAACTCATTAGAAGAAATGTTCACGATTGAAAAAGGCCGCAATTTATTAAAATGATTGGCAATAATGCACGAGACGCAGCCAACGTGAGGGTCCGGACTCAAGTTCTGGGCCAGGCCATGGAACAATCTGGCCAAATTTGTGCCGTGTGACCCTCCATCATACGACATAACCAAATTAACTTGTCACGTGGTGCATTTAACAACACGCCAACTATGACTACACCAAGCACCTTGAGGACAAGATCCAGGAAGACAGAATTTTTATTGTTTGATCTTATGATGGAAAGTTAGTCCATGGCATTATGTGGGCTAACCCAAAAATCAATAACGAATTGCAAGAATAACGGCTCGGACACGTGACCTATGCCACAGACGGGCTACAATTCCCGACAGCTCTCACTGCAATGACCATCGAGATGCATGCAACGTGAATTGCCGCTCAGTCTGCGACTCAGCGAATCCCTTTTGCATGTGCAGGGCGGAACGAGATGGGCATTGGAGTGGCACCCCGGGGTCAGCAACCAAGGGTGCAGAGGAGACCTCATGCCGCCAGGCAGTGGCGGTGGTGAGAGGGGCCCTCACAGAACTGGTCAACGGTGTGGCAAGGAGAGAGCCTGAAGACAGGTGGTGGAGGTGGTGAGGCTGTGAGAGTGGTGCATGAAGGTTGTGTCAACTTGCAGGACCTGGAATTTGTTGCGTCCACTTTTCTTTTTAAACCTTCACAATCTCCCCAGGTAAGAGACATGAGAACACTGAACCAGTCTCAGCTACATATGCTCGCGAGCAGTGTTCACACGACTCCACGTCATTCCATCGCTGCATCTGACCAGAGGATTCCTGTATCGGCCGTGGCTTCATGGCCAGCAACCTCCTGGCAGTCAGCGGATGGGCTTGGCTCACTGATGAGCCCATGTAATAGCGAACCACAGCCATGTCTCCCACACTGTGCATGCAAGAATGCCATTAATCAAGGCCCCGGCAGCTGAAAGACCAACTTGTACTTTTTGGTGAGTGAAACCCATTCTTTACATGTTTTATGTATTTTCCTGTTTGTAAAACTCACTGAGGTAGCATTGATATAAATTACACTTAAATCCATGAGTGACAGTGGCTTAGGAGTACTCATAGTTGCCGTGTCAGAGTCCCAGTGCTGACACCACTGAGATCCTGAATCCGGAGTTTCAGCCACACAGTCGCGACCATGGAACTGGGTTCTCAAGTGCAGCGAGTTGATGGTCTCAGCCCGGTTACCAACGACTGCACCAAAGACGCATCGTATTCAGTTTGGGTTTTACATAATGGACGTTAAAGATCCCTTGAGCTCAATCGAAAAGAGTAGATCACCGAGTGACTATGTCACGGTCCAGATTGGCCAAATATGAAAGTGTCTCTGCAAATCACTCAATTGGGAGAAGGGACTTGGCGACATCACCCCCTGCTGTGAAACTACTGTAAGCCGAACCCCCCCCTGGGAACAGAGCCTTGCTTCGTGAGAGCACCCGCGCTATAATAAGCATTGTGTGATTATGAATGTACTAATGGTAGAGTGGGTGAGTGAGCGAGGATTTGAGTGAGTGAATGATTGGATGGGTGGCTGAGTTCCCTTGATGAGCAGCAATTGAAGATAAAGAGTTTCTGAAATACGGACACACATTGAAATTTACACTCGTCGACCACTCATCACTGTTCTGTTTATGCCTTTTCTCAAATTTATATTAAGAGTCATTTTGCCCATATCTTTTTTTATAATTTGATCGGGGTGTAGCACGCGGGGGGGGGCTAATGATATTCTGCAGAAAATTCCAAACGGAACCAGTCAGACACACTGAGGGACAAACAGCTGTTCCCACAGGATGAGAGCGAAATCAAAGTGGGTTCCGGTCCTTTGTGAAGCGACGAGCCGAGGTGGGAGATTTTCGAATATAACAAGCAGAAACAACGCACATCAGTCTTGCTGCGGCAAGCTCCTGGCAGTGGGCCTCAAAACCAACCATGGGTGTCGTGTCTGGCAGAGGAGAGGGACGATGTATTGTTCAGTGCTCAGTTCGGCACTGACCGACAGAGTATCGCTGAAAGTTTATTCTACATTGAGCCATCCTAAGAGAAGGGCGGGAGAGGCACCCCAGGACGCCTGCGTGAATCTAGCAGCTGCAAGAGAGAGAGAGCATAGAGCAGTGGAGAGAGCGTGACCCGCGCAACCGAGAAAGAGTGTCGGCGCTGGCGAGAGCACCGGGTGTTCGACACACACACATCGACGCAGACGGAACCTAGACAAGTGTGAGGAGCAGCGGCAAGCAATCGACCTGGAGGAAGGGCGGAGAGCACCAAGCATCGACCAAGCGAGCATCGCACAGGACCAGCAGCAGCAGCAGCTAACGACTAACCACGAGCGGAGGACTCGGAAGCCGAGCACACTCCTGCAAAGGTGGAGTCTACAAGGATCAACCGTGCCTGGTGTCAAACGGGGGTGACGCGCGGCGGCCAGCGGACGATTTAAATTAATTCATTGATGTCTACTCTTGCCTTGGGCACACGTTTCTTTATCACTGCTCGTATGACCATTGTCACATTATTGTTTAAGGACTTTCCCTATCGCCGTGTACGGTCTCGCTACTCCGAGAAGTCAGCCTGTTGTTACATTGCTCAGTTTAAACAAACTTAACCTTTGAGGGTTAATTGTGCGGATTAATGAGTAGGACATCTCCACGAGTACTGTGTTGACAATTGCGAGCATAAAGTGTTCGCATATTAGAGTGTTTTTAGATATTAAAATTGCTTAACACAAAACTCGGAGTGATTATTTCCTAAGTTGATGCATAATAATCTTAATTATAAGAACTGTATCCTGCGGTGAGATCTGAAATCTGAGACCTGACATAAACACACTCAAATATAATCAGTAAAAGTTAAAGCGAGACTCATTGTATTATCACGATTGACAAACAACCCTAGACAACGAAGCCGAGCCTAATTATCATAATTGCATACTTTCATAAATTACATATTTTTAATTGTATTATCACAATAGGTAATACACCCCTAGACAACAAAGCCAAGCCTAATTAAATTAGCATAATTTCGTACAAAAACACATTTAGCATTTTTCATTGATTTTTTTATATTTTTCAAGACACAATATATACATCGCTCACGGTCACTGATCCATGAACTTTGCGATTGTGGAGAGCTGTATGTTGGAGGTTCCTTCGTAAATGGTGCCTAATAAGGAGGTGGAATGGGGAGAGAGAAGTCGCAGGTCAGGAAATAACTTGAACAGCAGGCGAGACATTGTGTGCTTATTCCTGGAAGATGGTGATGATGCTGGTAATAATGATCATGACAGCGATCCTGCTTTTGATGACGAGTAGATGATGTGGATGATGTGGATGATGTGTGGGACCGTACCGACTTTGCAGTCCCGGTAGTACTTCTCGATGGGGTAGCTGGTAGTGAACCCCACTCCTCCCATCCACTCCATGCACTTTGACGTCGTCAAAGATGCCACCTACACGGAGACAAAGATCCCCCGTATAACCTTCGCTGTTAACGAGCACCTATGAAAGCCGACACACCATGCCCTACCGCCTTTATCTCCCCAATCCTGATGTTTACACACTGCATCGTGTACTCATTTAAGGCTGAGTCGACCTTGGGGAGGTCGTGGACCGGTTAAAATATTCGCCATCGTTGGTCGTGAGCAGGATTCGACCTCGGGTCACCGGGCTCGTAGCGCAGTGCGGTTACCATTTGTCGGCACCAGTTCTGCCGTCAACGAGTGATTGGGGCGCCGTGTCGGCCTTCACGGTGCTCCCTAAACAGCGCTGTCCCCCGTGCAGCCTGCGTGGGCTACATGGGGGACTCTCTTGCTTTGTGCGTACATGGTTCTTGTGTGTTCAAGTGTGTGTGGTGCTTGTGTGTGCAAGTGTGTGTTTGTGTGCAAGTGTGTGTTTGTGTGCAAGTGTGTGTCCCAACAGGCAGTTTAAGGATATATGGGGGATCACTGTATGTCTTTGTGTGCACCTCAGAGGTGAAGTACTTGGCCATGCAGGCCTGCGTGAGGAAGGGCAGGCCGGCCTCTCGTAGCCGCGCCGCGTTGTACGTGAGCAGCCGTGCCGCTTCGATCTGTGTCGCCACGTGGGCGATCTGGTGCTGCATGCCCTGGGGGGGGGGAGGGACGGATACGTACTCATCACCCGCTCGTCCACTCAACCTCGCGCACAACAACAACAGCAGCATGCACACAGAAACACACAATCACTTACACACGCACTCATATTTACACATGACGAAGACACAGAACCCCCGTACAGCCTGAACAGCCTGCTGGACCAAGTGCTGTTAGTGAGCAGCGCCTATGAAGGTCGGCACGGCAGACGAGGGAGTGGGTGGCCAACACCACACCTGACCGCCTTTGTCTCCCCGGTGGTGATGTTTACACATCACACCAGGTACTCATTTGAGGCTGAGTCGACCTAGTGGAGGCCCATGACTAAACTCAGGATGCCTTATTCGTAGTGCAGCGAGCTTACCGCACACTCACTGGACCACACGCGTGTACCAAGCTCGGCCAGGGAGCGAACCTGGAAGTCGTAGATGCGCTGGCCGAACTGCTTGCGCTGCTTGGTGTAGGCGACGGCGTGGTCGAAGCAGCCCTGGGAGAGCCCCACCATCTGCGCGACGGCACACCCGCATGTGTTGTTAGCGTGCAGCGACACACGCGTGTCCACGCACGGCGTTCACGCGAGTCGGCGCCATGACCCCCTCACCTGCGCGGCGATGCCGATGCGGCCCTCGTTAAGCATACCGATGGCGTACTTGTACCCTTGTCCCTCCTGGCCCAGCACGGCGCTCAGCGGAACCTGGGTCGCATCGCGACAGGCAGAGAGAGGGACGGCGGCGTACAGGAGTTATCATCCTCTCGTACGCGTCATGGGATTTCTCTCATTTCCTCAAATAGGGAGCAGCGGTCAGAACGCCAGTGCAGCAGTTGCCGGTGTGAAACACGTTCATCTTGCAGACACGCTCACCAACAAACACGCACTCATTCACACACAAAGACAACAACAACAAACACAGTTGCTGGCCACAGGCCCAAGGGCCCAAAACGCCAAGCGGCCAGCAAAAAGCAGCGGCAGACCTTGACGTTTTCGAAGTGCACAGGGCAGGTGGAGGAGGCGCGGATGCCCAGCTTGTCCTCTTTCTTGCCGACCTGCAGGCCCGGCGTGCCGCGCTCCACCATAAAGCACGTGATGCCCTTGTAGCCCTAGTGGCGGTCATACAAACGTACGAACACAAACAACGCCACACACATACACAACAACAACCGGCGATGTTTAAATACACACGTGAAAACGCGCAAACACAAATATACACGCAAATACGTGCAGGGCATTCACAACAATACACGTCACCAGGGTAGCTGATGTATAAACATCGCCACTAGGGAGATAAACGTGGCCGGGTGTTTGCTGGCCACCTACCTCCTCGCCGACATAGGCATTCACTTACAGCACTTGGCCCAAGTCTATTAATTACTATATGGGGGATCTTTGTCTTTGTTGTATGTGGGTGCGTGTGTGTGTGTGTATGTGTGTGCGTGCGTGTATGTGTGTGCGTGTCTTTGTCTTTGCACCGAACCCTCTCTGGCGCGGCGTTGGCCATGACGAGGAAGAGCCCCGCGTGCTCCGCGTTGCTGATCCACATCTTGGTGCCGTTGAGGAGGAAGTGATCTCCGCGTTTCTCCGCCCGCGTCTTCATCGCAAATGCATCGCTGCCCGAGCCCTCCTCCGACAGGCAGAAGCTCCCAACCTGCGAGCCGGGTTGAGGAGTTCTCACGTGCGCTCTCGCTGACCACTTCTCACTCACCCGCCGTGTCTCACAATCGCGCGCTCGCTCACAGCGTCAGCCTCTCTCTCACCGTGTCGCGGGCGAGCCGCGGGAGGTAGTGTCCCTGCTGCTCCGTGGTCCCCAGCTTGCGCACCATGGTGTTGATGAGCGTGTTCTGGATGTCGCACAGCACGGCGACCGAGGGGTCGACCCTCGCCAGCTCCTCCACGGCCAGCACCGACGCGAAGAACGTTGAGCCCGCGCCACCCAACGCCACGTCGATCTCAATACCCATCAGCTAAGAGCCACGCACACGCAAGATACACGTGTGTGTCAGCGTGGGGAGCAGTGCGAGGGAAGAAGCAGAAATAGAAGCGTTGTGACCTGCAGCGTGGTGGTTGAACACGGTATGGATGAGTGCATATCCCGTTTGTGTACGTGTATTCCCCATGTGTGTACCCCCGAGTGCGAATGTGTGAGCCATACCCCTTGCTCAAAGAGGCCGTCGATGACCCCCTGGTGCATGACAGACGCGCGATCCATCTCCGCCACGATGGGCGCCAACTTATCCCGAGCAAACTTGGCAACTGGGGAGACATGGGAGATATGCGAGTGGGTGAGTGTGTGGGCGAGTGAGCCGGCGAGCAAGTGGTAGGATTGCCCTATCTCCGGGTAAAACCTGGACCGGTGGCAACCCTACCACAAACGTTCCCCACGATGGGTCCGTGAGCTCAGGAGGAGAAATAGAACCCTGGATGATGTCTGCGGGGTCTCACCCGCATCTCTCATCATGGCCTCCTCCTCGTTCAGGCTCTGCAGCGGGCCCTGCACAAGAGTGGCCGCGCCGTCATGGTGCGGGTGTGGTGCTCCGGACGACAGGGCCCTGCAGCAGCGGAGACTGGCGCCGCCACTGCGCCACCCTGCCGCCCTGGCCAGCCACCCCACGCACGCCTACACCACCGCGGGAGAGAGATTTACGATGGGTAGACACGTGTTCATTAATTGATTAAAAACACTTTCTGTGCGCAATTAACTAATTACACGGTAGTGTACAGATTAATTACAGCTCAGTCTATTTGAGTTTAACGATGCATGCGATTCGATTGGTATCCATATGAGTCGATGGGTTTCGGACAAGTCATCAGTGGCCGGGCTGAGACCATCAACTTGCCACACTTGAGATCCTGGATTAATCCCAGTTCCGTGCGAGTCTATGGGTAGTTCACCTGCATTTGTTTAAGCAAATCTGACTATGCTGTCAAAACCCATCCAAAGTTGTCCTGTTGAACCAAAGCTGCTGAAATGATGCACTTCAATCTCACGTGTGGCTGATGGGATGTGTCCAACATACTTTTGTGTCGAGCAACATTGGATGTTGGAGGTGGCTTGCCTGCTCATTTATGGTGTCAGACTGAGATCGCAGCTTTGGGCCGGTTCACAAATGAGAGGTCGGGAGTGGACCCCGAAGGGGCCCGGGAGGGAAATACAAACTCGGTGCTGCTGGGATCTGTTCTGGACAAGGGCCCCATGGATCGCAGCCATTGGCGAGAAGTGCGATTCATTGGCGAGAATGTTTCTGGAGTTGCGACACAGAGTTCGTTGTTGCTGTTAGCGGCGGCGGTGGTGGTGTGAATCAGTGTAGGGAGCACGTTCGTGTGTGGCCCGCGGGGTTGACATTTTTTACAATTAAAACATTTCAAACCCCTTAAGATGCAAACACATAATGCAGTACATCCATAGAAAGCACGTAACGAATGGACACCAGGACTGTGTATAATAGAGTCATACACTTTCTTTTCGTTCATTACGCGCTGACTTTGTACAACAGCACAGACAGGACCAGCGATGCAGACAGAACAGCGGCAACACGGCGGAAGGTTTGCAAGTTCTCAGCCCATCCCTCTTGGGTCTATAAAATTAGTACCACTTTGTGGAGAAGTGGTACTATTGTCCTATGGATTAGACTCGCCCCTGCCAGAGGAATGTGGAACTTCCACCGCTGGCTCTGGCTGCAAACATGAGCACCGCATCAACGCCCAGCTGAGCAGGAAATTCCACATTCCCATGGCAGGGGCAGTCAATACAGTAGCTGCAAGGTGCTAAATGGCAGCCGTGGTCGATCCACTGCTGGATGATGAAGGCCTCCTCTGCCGGCCGCCAGTCTGTCGCCCACCACGTGCGCTCGCCACGTGGCGAGGACTCGGCCCGCGGGCCGCTGCTCGAACTGAACTCGCGGGCGGCTGCGAGTCGACTCGTTCTGCGGGTCCACGCTCGCGGAGGGAAACCTGAGAATCTTGACCGCGTCACCTCCGTGACGCGTTTGACGTCACCAAACAAACACAAGTGTGTGTTTTATATGTCACCGCCTTCAAATGAAAGGCGACGGCGAGGCAAGTGGCTGTGCGTGCGCGAGTTTAATGGACGCGAGAGAAAGGCCGCGATGTGCGAGGCAGCGAACTCGCCTTGGCCATCGAGCCCACCGCCGCTGCAGCCGCCGCCATGTCGGGGTCGCCACCGCCAGCTCGCTCCTGATTGGTGCAGACGGCAACACCCCCTCGTCCCAATCACGTGACCGCTCCCAGCCAATAGCGAAATCAGTGACTTCGTCCCGCACTGGATGACGCGCCGTGCACCTAGCCTGGCACAATCGCTGCGGTGACGTCACCGCCACTTCTTCATTGAGCATACACAGAGGCACAGTGGGTAATACGATTTGGAAGCTGCAATCGTTCACACCATGCGACCTTGTGATGATCACATGAAACATGTTCTTGTGATGACCGGTTTCACGTCTGTGAAAAAGAGCTTCGTAGCTCATCGGATTCCAGTCGTGAATTCGCGGCACTTGGCCACCGCTCAGTTTGTATTCTCTCCTTAGCGACTCGCCCTGCCAAGCACGGCTACTTGTTCAGAATGAATCCATTCAACTCCGTGCTCGCGAACTCGGCTCAGGGAGTTGCTGATAGCGTGACGCCGCCCCGACTCAAGCTCACTGTGGACGGGCTCCGACACTGCGCGGCTCGCCAGCAGCAGGGCCCGGGCTGCACGAGCCGGCGCTGCTGAACCACCACGACGCGTCTTGCTCATGCGCAGGGACAGTGGGGGGAGGGGAGCGTGTTGTCTGCTCATTCATGTGGCACTTACACTCTCCACCACGACGATAATGATTCTATACGCTTTGGGTTTTTCGGTAAAGTCGCGTAGGTGAAACATATAAAATAAATAATAAATGACAACAACTAAATTAAATCACGACGTTTCGGGCGCAACACAGGCGTCCTTCAGGTGGGGGGAACGAAGCGAAAGCACAAACACACTTATTTTATATTTTTTACCTACGAAAAAACCAGAGTATGGAACGAAAACTTCAAATATAGAGATAATGATTCTGATTCATGCAGTCACGAAAGCTTCAAATCTAGAAATAATGATTCTGTTTTAGTTTCATTACAAAATAGCAAACGGAAATAAATATAGATTTGACGTCATCTGTGCTTACATTTTACTTCACTGCGGATGACGTCATGTCACTGCTCCGCGCGGTGACGTCATCACTCTCGCCTACGTAATCGCCTTTTGGTGACATCACGATCTCCCTTTCGGCCGCCATCGCTGAGCGGTAAGTGACTGTGGTTCCTGGGCGCCGCGAGCAATCCGTGAACATCGACCCCATGAGGCATCTCCTCTCTCGTTGGGGGCCCAAGGAGTGCGGGGGGATATAGCGCCGGTCTCCTCGAGGGGATTTGGTGGCGCTGGGGCGAGAGGATGAGGCTCCCGAGCGGGCGGCGGGTGTCGGTCAATCGCGATGTTGGACCCGATGGCCGCTAAGCGCGGTGAAACAGTGTTTCGTGCTGCTGTTAATGTTGAAGGGTTGTTTAGCACGGGAAATCACCGTAGGGATGGAACTATGGAGGGATTTAGGTACTTACGGGAGTGAGATGCGTGGTCGGAGAACGGGATGGCGACTGCATGGGTATGCCTTCATCCAGCAGTGAATACACCATGGGCGATGATGCTGTTATAATTGAGTAGTGGCAATGGGTTGTATTAAAATGTTGCGGTGGCGTAATTTTAATAGACCAGCACTATTGTGCGCGGGCGGCATGACCCCATCATTAACGTGGTAGGGAGAGACGACACTGGGCCCTGTCTCAGAATGTGAAATGTCCACCACTTGGGCAGAACTTTTAAGAGCCGAGTGCCGCCACGTTTGTCCGCCGTGTATAGAAGCATCGCCTCTGTATGGCCCGCCTCTTGCCATGGGAATGTGGTCATGCATGATTATAGTGAGGACTTGGTGAGGCCTTGCTACCGCCGCTGCCTGACGATTGCTAAACTCGCCCCAGTTGTGATTTCTAATTGTAGCGGCGCGTTCTGCCGAGCACGTGGGGCATGGTCATCCAGCATCAGGCCCCCTTGCCGCGTGTGGCCATGTGATCCGTGCCGTGCCGTGTGTTTTATACACGTGGCAAGTTCAATTATAAACAACAAGTCGAATTTTACCACGTGGAGGTGAAAGTTGGAGGCACAGCCTTGCAGGTCGCTCACGCCTCTACTGGCCGAAGGAGCGCCAGAGACGCCTTCCTCTCGAGGGTGTTTGGTCTACTCTTCTGACTCGCGGGTCGGACGTCTTGGAAGACCTCGCCACCTGCTGATTGACAAACTGTAGTGTACCCATTTGTATACCGTGATGTTATGCTTTGTGGTGGATGCATCCATCACATGCTTACTGGGTAGGTAACGTGTACAGCACTTTGTCACGAGGCTGCTGGATGAGAGCGTCCCCATGCCTGGGAGGGTTATTTAACAATATTTCACGCTCGTCTGGGTTGGAGAAGCATGAAAGCGTATAAATACAATCCTGCAACAAATTGTTCTTAAAACCAACTAACAGAATGTGTTGCCTCTGTTTTCTCTCCATCCTTTCTGCTCTCCACAACTACACCAAACAACGACGCTACAACCACCACCTCCCAATCTCACCTCTACCTCCCACAACCACCAATCCCACCTGCCACTCCTTTCCACAACAAACCACCACCTCCCTGCTACTCTACTTCCCTCTCTACAATAACAACCACCACCACCTCCCTGCCTGATACTCGTCTCTCGCCACTAACAACCACGCATCACCAACAACACAACCACCACCTCCCCACTCGCACCTCTCCCTTCCCCTCCACAACACCACGAACACAATCTCCAGCAGCACCAGCAGCCGCCATGAAGCTGAACAAGTTTGTGACGTCGTCGCGGCGCAAGAACCGCAAGCGGCACTTCAACGCGCCGTCGCACGTGCGCAGGAAGATCATGTCGTCCCCGCTCTCCAAGGAGCTGCGGCAGAAGTACAGCGTGCGCTCCATGCCCATCCGCAAGGACGACGAGGTCCAGGTGCGTGCGACCCCGACGCGACGATGACAATAGTTTGCGCGTATCAAGCTTCAAGGTATCGTCATGACCAACCCGATGATGATGATGATCCCACCACCTCCCTCTGCTTGCCACTCGTCTCCACCATGAGCGCGGCAGATGCGGTCGTGTTGTGGCATTTGTCTGGAGGGGAGGAGAGTGGCAGGAGGGATGATGATGGTGGTTGTGTTGGTGTAGTTGTTGAGGTGGGGAAGAGGAGGTGGTTGTTGATGAGGAAGAAGAAATTGGCCAGCAACGCCTTTCACCTCGGCCAAATCCAGCAGCTCCTGCTGCTACACAGGAGAATCGCAGAGGCCCTGGCAGTCTCCAACCACTCTTCTTTGACTCGCATAGAGATCCATATATTCACAGAGACCCATAGATCTGCCCTTGCATTATCCCACCATCTGGCCATTAGTCGCCAGACTTGTGGAGATCACTTCAATGCCCAGCTCTGTAACAGGCCATCTTTTGTCCCGCACACGTCCTACCCAGCGCTGCCGTTTTTGCCAAATCACTTTTTAACACTAATCCGGTGTTTCTCTTCTGGACTTCATGGATTGTGAAAGGGATCTATAACATGTTTATTGTAGGATGTTCAGGCATCTGTTAACCCTGAGCCAGTGATGCAGTTCCACATTGATTTGGTGCAGGCGAATCTTCCCATAGGACAACCACTGTTGACTCCCCCACAAAGTGGCACTTGTTTTGTCGACCGATTTGAGGGACGATTGGCTGAGTGAACCCCAACGCAGGATTTGAACTCGCAACTCTGATTACGAGCCACTGGCTCTGCAGCTGAGCCACCTGGTCTCGTGTATATGGTGCTTGAATGCCTCAGGATCTTAAAAAGTACCTTGTATCTCATCTCAAACATTCAAAGGAGACCCCCCCCCCCCCCCAGTGGCAGCTGTCCCTGTGTGGCAAGGTGGTCCAGTGTGCAAGTGGGAGTTCGTGTGCCGGAAGGGGGGCAATGATTGCGATGTCTAATCCTGTGTAGCTGATGGGATGTGTGGAGGGACAGATATGTGGTGTCTTCTTATTCGTCTTGTAATCACAAGGACGAGAGGCCGTAAGTGATCCTTGTCACGTGTGTGTGCGTGGCTGTGGGCAGGTGGTGCGCGGTCACTACAAGGGCCAGCAGGTGGGCAAGGTGGTGCAGGTGTACAGGAAGAAGTACATCATCTTCATCGAGCGCATCCAGAGAGAGAAGGCCAACGGCGCCAGCGTGCACGTGGGAATCCATCCCAGCAAGGTGGGCGCGAGGGTGCAGGCGTTCTTGCTGAAACTGCCTTCATTGCCGAGTCATCATCAATCGTCACTATTCCAACTTGTCATTATCACCATATTGTATAAGCTGCCACCATAATCACTGCTGCCAACACCATCATTGTCATTGCAACCACCACCATGGTTATTGTTATATCATCATCACTGCGACTGTCGCTACTATCATCATCATTGCCATTTTCATCACGACTGGCATCCTTGTCATTGCTCCGGCCACCACTAGCATCCGTGACTTCCGCTGCTGCTGCATTACCATGTTTTCATCGATGTCTTGGTCATCCTTAACTGCTGCCATCGTCATTGTTATCCCTAAAGCCACCACCATCAGAATCACTCCTGTCATAACCAAAGACAAAGGTCCCCCGTATAGCCTTTACCACATTGTTGGGGAAAGTGTTAGATATGAAGGTCGGCACGGCACACGAGGGCGTGGGTGGCCAGCACCACGCCGACTGCCTTTGAATCCCGAGTGGCAATGTTTACATATCACACTAGGTACTTAAATGAGCCTGAGTTCAAATAATCGTCACGCTACTGCTCCACACATCAGCATGACTGCTACTGACACCACCGTTGTCACAGCTGCTACATCATTAACTTAATTTCCAAGTTCACGACCTGACGAAGCAGCTGAAAGCGGTTTCATTGAAACGTCATCGTTATTGTCGGTGTAGCCAATGCCACGGTTATCCATCATTGCTAGTGCAGGTTATTGTTGCCACGTGCTTTTAGTCGATTGGTCGACTAATCGTGCCGGCTGTGGTTGTCATAAGGACTAATATCATGGCGGTGACGCCTCCTTGGCCTGCAGGTGGTGATCACGAAGCTGAAGCTTGACAAAGACCGCAAGAAGATCCTGGAGAAGAAAGGCAAGTCCAGGCAGCAGGGCCAGGACAAGGGGAAGTACAAGGAGGAGACGATCGAGAAGATGCAGGAGTGAGGACAACCAACCTCTTCCTCCTCCCCCCACTTGCCCGCCTGCCCCGGCAATTACAATAAAAACATCGTTGTTTCACAAGAACGCTCTGTGTTGGTTGTGTGGATGTGTTGGGTGGTGGAGTGTTTTAACAACTCGACTGTTGGTTGCTGAGTATTTAGCCCAAAAACGTGAGGGGGCAGCAACAAACAGGACTGTTAAGACATGTTTTATTGATAACAGTAATATTTAATTAAGCAAGGTTCATATTCTTGGTTCTTTCGGTAAAGTCACATAGAAGGGAAATAATAAAACTAAAGTAAAACAGGATAAAATTCTCACGACGTTTCGGCCACAACGCAAGCAGCCGTCCTCGGGTGAAGAACGGCTGTCGGAGAGACAGCGTCCTAATTAACACTGCTAAGCTCGGCAGCGTATTTTTAACCTGGGTTGGAGGAGAGCACCCTGATAAAGGAGTTTACATATCAACAGGAATTTAGCATATTGATGACATGCAGATATGGGATTAGTCACTACTTGTGGAATGTGTACGCCTACACAGCTTAAAAATACGCTGCCAAGCTTAGTGTTCATTAGGACGCTGTCTTTCCGACAGCCCTGTTCTTCACGCGAGGACGGCTGCTTGCGTTGTGGCTGAAACGTGGGAGTTTTATCTTTTGTTTTATTTTTATTATTTCCTTTCTACGTGACTTTACCGAAAGAACCAAGAATACGAATCCATGCAGTCGCGAAAGTTTTAAATCGAAATTTAAGCAAGGTTATAAGAGCTTGGGAAAATAGACGGTGGGAGAATTCTCAAGTACGTAGAAGGGAGCAGAATAAGTGACCTGCAATGTGTTGGTTAAACACGAAGCTGAAATGAAGGTCTAGTCGACGCTAGTTGTCAACGTGGGTGGACGAAGGAGAGAAGTTTCCAGGAGCAGTCACCTTGGTGCTCATTGTAGAAGAGTGATGGTCAATTAGCAAACACCACTTCGCCATTTCTCCAGACTGCTTCACTTTGACGGCGATCGGACGCAGTGAGAACTGGGTGCTCACCCCTTCCGGAAGTTTGTACTTTGGAGATTAATTTGGAATGTGGTGAGCATTTGCATTAAGTTAATAAAGAGCGAAACAGCGTCTCAGTAATTTACAAAACCTGCTATTTGGAGGATTTTTAGTCCACGAACGTCGAGTATTGAGCATTGCACTCCTGATCGCACGCACAAGAGGGCGTACCAGCCGCCGAGAACCCATGTACTGTATGGAGAACTCCTTTCACACCGTACGTAGCTATCCTTGCTAATCGGAGGTGCGGGGGAAGGCCAACAAACTAAACTCAAAAAGCAGTTCTAAAGAAATTAGTTTTCAATTTAGACCAACGAGAGAGTTGAGTAACAAGGAACACGTCCACACAAGTGACGAATACAAAATGATCGGCGGCGTGTGGAATATAAGCAACAAAATACATTGATAGGAAATTTGCCTTTCATTTGTCCCTGCAAAATGTGTACACATTCTATTAGCCCAACGACCTGGGAGTGCATACTTTCATCAGAATTGCAATCAAACTGGGCCGCTTTTAACATTCGGCGTCTCATCAGCAGAGTAGCTTGCTGAAGATCTGCCACATGCAGTTCGTATAAAAACAGATCCGTCACAGACTCGGAGCACGTGTTAGCGAGCAGCTATTAAGACCGACACGGCGCACGAGGGGGTTGTGTGGACAGCACCACCGCGCAGTTCACGTGAGTCGAACGGCAAAACGAAATGTCAAGTGGACCCAGCACCCTCGAGAGCCCCCCATGCTGGGGCACTCTTCTGCCGGCAGTGGCGTGGGTAGGCAATTGCGGGGCTGCGCCTGGACATGGCTTGAGACGATCAGCTGAGCAGGGGTATTTAACGCGGCTCTAATTCCATACACTGGATAGGCAGCCACGCCCCCGTGCCAATCCGCGCTGGGAAATGTAGAGCACGTGCGTGCATCACGTGACACGGGGCGATCTTCTGTGGCGGTGTCGCTTCTCGCCGCCGTCTCGCCAGGATGGGCTACCACGGCCTCACCATCCCCATCATCGTCATGACGGTCTTCTGGGGCATCATCGGCTTCGTCGTGCCCTGGTTCATCCCCAAGGGGCCCAACAGAGGGTGAGTTCTCGGCAAACCCTTTACGGGTCGTCACGTCGCTCCGGCCGGCGAGGAGGCGGGATGGTTTCCGCCCCGGCCGCTTAGGCAAGGGCGCAGGCTACGCATGGACATTTGAGGCCTACTGGGCAAATATGTTCTGTACATAACATCTTAAATGTAAATACCAGTTGTTTGATATACGATAAGGACGGCTGCTTGCGTTGTGGCCGAAACGTCGTGAGAATTATTTTATTGTTTTATTTTAATTATTTTATTATTTCCATTCTCCGTGACTTTACCGAAAGAACCAAGAAGATGAATCCCTGCAGTCACGAAAGCTTTAAATCGAAATTTATACGTTAATAGTGAAAGCTTACACTGGTAGTCGTTAGTACAAATTAAAACTATGTTTTATCAGTATCGCACGTCTCATTCGAGTTGAGTACGTGGTGTGAACATGAGCATTGGGGATACAAAGGACGTTGGACTGGTCACCGCCGTAAGCCGCTCTGCTCGCTAACAGCGCCTTGGCCCGGCAGTCTGTAACCCTGCACGGGACATTAGCTACGGAATTCGCCTCCTTCCCATATCACCTCCATAAAATTCTTATTTACACATCTCAGCAGCCTTCAAAGAGTCCATATTAGCGGCAGCAGCAGCCGCAGCATTGATTTAACGCAAGCCAAACGCTGGACCGGTTTCAATATTCATTGTTTCATCAGTGGAGTGGAGTGTTTAATCAGCTCGCTTGCTCCAATACGTTGTGTTTTCGGCATTTGTATGGCGTATAATTCTTAGACCAGCAGTGGCGAAAATAATTTTAGCGAGAACCTATTAAGACCGACTAGAATGCGTTACCCGTTGTGTGCTTTGTCAAATACGAGCAGCACGGCTGGCGACGTAGAGTGCGAAAGAAGTTCAACACGAAGTGCCGAGTCGACCCTAGCGGTGGCCCGGGTCATGTTCAGTGACCACTCGTGACTGATGTTACCCAAGGCTGGGATTCGAACCCAAGTGTGTTGCAGTGGTTCTTGCATTAAACCTGACTCCAAAATAATAATTATGGTCGTTGTGGAGAAGACTAAATAACTAAATATATAAAAGTGGTTTTTTTTCATGTGGAGGGACAGATATGGGAGGCGGATTGCTTCATCATTTCGTTTTTTATATTCTCAACAACGACGCTGGGAGTTGTTGGTGTTGATTGTAATCGAGCTTTGTGTTGAATTCGCACCCAATAACGAACAGTGGAGGGTCCTTGCATTTGAACATCTGGCGTTCAGCATTGGTTCAAAGAAAGCCACACTGCTGATGAGACAATTAATATTAAAAGTGGTCCAGTTTTCTTGCATTTAACTGATTGTGCTGAAATTGTGTGCTCCCAGAACCCGGCTTGCTGATGGGATGTGTAAAAAACTGTTTTTTTATACGTGGAGAGACAAATATACATTTGTGTGCTTATGATTATTCCTGACTCCGCTCTTCTTTCCACAGAGTTATCAACACCATGCTGGTGACATGTGCCGTTTGCTGCTACCTCTTGTGAGTTCCACAGCACTCTACACTCACCACTCCACACAGATGGATGTACTAATCCATTGCTATACTGCCACTTCCTGGCCACCTTGCAGTCCGGGCCTACAACACTGATCTCCAGGCACTTGATAAGATCAGGCACGTTGAGGGTGGTGGTCGGTGTGGGTCATTGACTTGCATATTTATACGTAGTGAAAGGTGTATTCATTAAACACTGCTATCGTAAAGGGCTGTGTGCAGGTAATAGCTGTAAGTGGGTAATTGTCAGTGGACGAGACTTGTGGTGGAATAACGGCCAAATGATTAAGCACGAATGAGAGCATGACCATTGCTAAACGCGGCTATGAGGTCAGTAGCTATGCAGGACCGGGATGGATTGTGGCATCACATGGTCATGAGGAATGGCCATAGCATGGGCACGCCTTCATCCAGCATTGGATAGACCATCATTCGTGATGGTGAAGAGGGCCTACTTAAAATCTAAAATCCACAAGTTATTTTCTGGTTGAGGGTCAATTCAGCCCATTATCCATTCGGGGTACATACAATTAATACCAGGCACTGCAGAAGTACACAATAATTATATGGTAAGACTAGTCCACACTGTATGAATATGGAGTGGTTAGTAATAGTTTTCTGCTGCATGAGGTGCTACAGTATGATACATTTTTACACCGCACTCATAAATCCCTTGCCAGTGCTGTGCTGGACTCTTAGCACAATCTCCGCGGAGGTGTTTTGTGAACGCTGCAGTAAAAACGACATGGTCACCGAGCGATGGAACATTCACAACGCGGGAAAGCAACTCGCGGTGACGTTGAGTTGGGGGCAGCTGAGCTCCTAAGTGGTGGATAGCGGTGCCTGGGTGACTAGCTGATAGGCTAAGTCGTTCATTGGATGTGTTTCTATCTTACAGGTTGTGTAACTTTGAGGCACTCTGGTTGACTAGATGGCTTACTTCTGGTTGGATACAGTTGGTGTCTTAGTGACTGGCCTTTAAGACCAGTAAGTATGTGTGTGTTGTTGTGTGTGCTGTTGGTAATGCTTGGCGTATTGCCGGCTGGCTGAGAGGCTGGCTGGGTGGGTGCGTTAGTTGTGTTCGGTAAACACCGCCCTAGCCGGACCTGTCCAGTCTCCCCTCGCCTGTGTCGCCAAACCTGGACCCCGCCGCTCTGGGGCGGCAGCAGAGGACAAAGTCAGGAGACGATGGCGCTCGCTCAGCCGACCTCTGCAACACACAAATCACTCATTCATTCATGAATTATATTTGGGTTACAGTGCGAATAAAGTTCAATATACACACATAGATACGCACATCATCCTCGTAGACCAAACAAGTACATACTGCACTTGAACGAAGACACCACATTGTTTATGTTGTATTAGTTTCATTTGCAGCCTCGTTTACTCACTTGGTCTGCGTACAATTGTGCAAACTGTAAATCACTAATACTTGTTTTCATTTGACTTAAAACTTTCCCGCTTGTTCTCTCTGCCTGATGACGACCGCTTGTGTTGCGATCGAAACGTCGTCAGTTTTGAAATAATTTTTATGTTATTTTATATCTACGTGACTTTAATGAAAGAACCAAATAATATGAATTGTTATCATGCACGTATCAAAGGATGTATGGTGGTGATCATAATTAAGTTAAATCTACGAGTCGTTAGAAGCCTGCCAATGTTTTGTGATCATTGAGCCGAGTTCTGTAGCAACAGCAGGCGGAAGGGAGCGAGTTCCAATCCTGTTTGAGACCGACTCGGCCCATCATCATCTTTCCCTCCGGGGGCCAAATGAATGAGTACCACTGTGTGGGGAACAGTGGTTGTATATACTCGCCCCCGCCATAGAAATGTTGGGTTTGCACCACTGGCTCCGAAAAGCCCTATAAACAGATGAGCAGAAATGGCCATTCGAACAGCAGCAAGTCACTTGTGTTGTACCGGAGCTTCGCCGCCGGGAGGCGCCCAAAGACCGGGAATCGGGGCAAAGATTCACCCAGGAAACCTTCCCGAGTCTTGTGGTCGTGTTTTCGAGACTTGGCCAAATCTCTTTTCATGAGAATTTGTCTTCATGTGGGAGAACCGGAGAAAACCATGCGTACGGCTGCAGCAACCAGCAATATCAACATTCTTATAGCATTTGTTTATGCAGGAATGCTCCAAACTGATTTCAGTTTATCTGAGTCTCATCAGCAAGGTGTGGCCTCTTAAACCGCCGAGAGATTTGCTTGGTGTTATAGGCAGTTTTATACTAACGCTACGGAGTGCATTCAATGCAGTACAGCAACTTTGTGCAAGATATTAAGTAACAACAGCACGAGCTGTGTCTCCATGAGGATTGGTAACCGATAACCATTTTCAGAATCAATAGGCCGTTCCAAAGGTCAGAGACTGGTAACGGATTCCAGTGGTGTAACAAACGCGCTGACTGGCATGCGTGTACGTACACTCCGCATGGCGGCAGGCCTGAGGGTAAATCATCTATGGGCAAATAAAAGGTAAACATGCAGCCCTGCAATTGCCAGAGCACATAACTGCTGACGGAAAGCGCCTCCACTCGAGGCAGCTCTAGATTTGGCCTACTCTTCCATTGTCGACTCAACTGCTGTGCGGAGAGATGGAATCGAGCCCGCAACCTGTGTGTTCACCATTCCCACCACCCCTGGCGGCAGCTTGCTTCGTTCCTCAGTTGAGAAGCTCAACACGTCCGGTTTGTTGCTCGAGACGTTCCTACGTGTGGCAAACCGCTAACCGGGGTTTTACCGGTGAACTCGTGCAGTTTACCAGTCGGTTCACACGCGGTGCTCCCTGTCCTGTTGCGGTGCCGAGCACAAACATGGTTGATCGTGCTCGGGATTCTCCGCTGAAAACCCCAAATATCTGGATTCATGGCCTGGGGGTTGTTTAGTCTGGCACAAGTCCTCTGCTCGTGGCCTGTCGCCGTGATGCCCTCCGTCCTCCGTCCTCATCATCGCGACCCCCGTGGCCCCGTGTCTCCCCCCGATCACCCTCCGCTAATGGACGCAGAATTGAGACAAAAAAAATACAACCCCTGTATGAAAACAACAACAGAGACAGACGTTCCGGCCTCCAGCGTTTGGGTGGTGGTGACATTCGTTTAGCAGGGAGTGGATTACAGTTGGAGGAAGAGAATGTGGGGAGCAGGTGTGTGAGAGAACTACGGATTTCACAGCAGTGTAGAGTTGCGGTGAGTAGATATTTGATGGTCCTTGCCTATAAACATTTGGCAATTCATCATGGTTCAAACGAGTCTTACTGCTGATGAGATGGTAAATATTAAAACCGGTCAAGTCTTTATTTTGTTGAACCAATGCTGGTGAAATTATCCACTACGATGTAGGCCGTGCGGCTGATGACCGGGTTCTCAGGTGTAGCGAGTTGAGAACCCGGCGTGGTCACCTCTGGGCCGCCACGCCGCCCGCCCGGTACACGCCAGACCTGCCGGGCTGTGGCCGGTGGTTGGGTGAGGAGGATCGCTCACGGGGACGCTGTTTGTTTTGGGTCGTTCAAACAACAACAAACGGAGGCATCAGATCTGCATCGCCACCACCCGCTCCAGCCCCTACTACCGCCCCTGGGTACGAGAGGAGGAGGAGGACCAGGAAAGTGGAGACTCCGTTGAGACCGCCACGGTTCAGTTTGGAGATTATTTGTCGTTCTTTTTTTATTTAATACGGGGGGGGGGGGGGTGGGGGGCTCGCCGGAAGAGCGCACGGCCTGCAGTCGGAAGGTTGCGCGTTCTGACTTTGGCAGCGGTAGGGGGGGGATGATGAGCTGGGTCACCCGGTCAACTCCCCCCCCCCCCCCCCCCCCCCCACTGTGGGGAAGATCAACAGTGAATGTCCTCTACATTGACTTAACCCCTGTGAGTCATAGGAATGTTCAATTAATACCACTGGTGCAGGGATGTTCATGGCTCTGCTCATTTGATCTTGGTGAATGCCACTCAACGTCTCGAGCCGGGGCCATGTGCGGTTAATCTGTGTTGTGTTGTTCGTGACACCAATGCCACTCTCCCCCCCTCTCCACTTCCTCCCTGATTTCTCTCCACTCTCCCCCCCCCACCTCACTCCCTTATCTCTCTCCCCTCTCCTCTTCCTTTCTCTCCCACCTATTTTCCCCTCTCTCGGCCCACCCACCCGTCTCCCCCTCTAGCTGGCTCATCGCTATCCTGGCTCAGTTGAACCCGCTGTTTGGGCCGCAGCTCTCCAATGAAACCATCTGGTACCTCAAGTACCAGTGGCCCTGAGGAGCGATGGCACCGGTACGTGGCTCCGTGGACACTCGCACACACGTGGGTTCAGGTGTGGCTGGGGTGGTGTAAACACCATCGACGCCAGAACTACGGTGCACATGTTTTAAAGTCAAATATTACACCGCACAACACTCAATTGGGATTTCACACGGAAGCAGTCATTGCCCCCTATCGGCAAACGCCCGCTCACTGCCAGGTGCTGAGTGGCCCTGTGCCATACAGGGGCAGCAGGAGCAGGAGGATTGCTCTTACAGAACGATCACTGCTGCTCCTGCGACGACACAAAGCCCATCCCCACATAACTGTAAATGTCCTCACCCCCCTGCGTTCTTGTTTCTCAGGAATCCGGTGACACCACCTACTGAAGACGGGTTCCACCAACTCCCTGGTTTCCCGGATCCGGTGAAAAATGTGAATTGAATCTTTGGTGTAATTTGAGATTTTGTCCTCCCATTCTCTCCTGCTGCCCAACCCCCCACCCCCCCCCCCCCCCGTGTGACTGGTGTACATTTTAATGCTGCCCCTGCCCCCCTACTGTGCACCCACAATTGTGGACGCCCTCGCTCACTTCCTATCACCGTGGCGCAGAGTAACGAAGCGGACGCCGCCACCGCCTCCACGCGTCCGTCCCTCCGCGTAAATGACGCGTTCTTTACACGTCCCTTCGACCACCACCACGCGGCCTCGTGGGCATGCAGCCTTCTTAAAATAGCCGTGCATCGAACGAGCACCGCTAAGAGAGGGCCCTTGCCTGTAAACATCAAGCAAGCCAGACTCCCCTGCTGATGAGACACTGAATATCAAAACCCCTCTAGCTTTGTTCCTATTGAACCAATGCTATCAAAAATACGCACTCTCAGCAGGCTATTTGGCTGATGGATGTGTAAATGTTGGCAGTGTTTATGTAGAAAGACAAGAGGTGGAGAAGCAGTCTACCCAATTGCGTTCTCCATGATGCCACTGGTGGGTCTGGTATGGGGCGGCCTGCGTCCACTCGGTCTCACCGCGTCGCGTTTCGGCACCATTCCCAATGACGGTTAGATTTTTTAAATGATTTTTTCTGTGGCAATGCTTTTCCCATCTCGCTCGTCTCATCCCGTGCGGTCTGATTCAAACCATCGGCTTGAGAGCAACATTACCATAAACCTTAAAACACTCCGTTCCTGCGTGCGGGATCTTCCTAAGCCATTCACCGATTCTGCCAAATCTCAGAAGCTAAGCGAGTTTAAGTCTGGCGAGTACTTGGGGTCGGATCCCTGGGAACACCAGGTGTAGCAGGATAAGTGTTTCTGCATGTGGGAGGAAATTAGCAATTCTCAAAGACCATTCATCAACGTTGGGGCAGCTCTATTTGGTGTCTAGTCTTAAGAGCAGATAGTGGCATGTCTTGGTGGTCGCTGCACATCTCCTGAGGTGCATTGGAGGAGGTGGAAGGCATCCGTGGCATCAACATCCGGGGCCACGGTCGATGTTTAAACGCACGGTGCCACTAACTGGGCAGCAGTGCAGTGGTTAACTCCCGTGCCTCGCTGCAAGCGCCTGGGTTTGACTAGACTCGGGTACCTTTGAGTTTATTGTATGTTCCCCCTTTGTTCTGCATGGGTTTCCTCCAATTGTTAATTAAAATACAGTAATTGATGTTGGCCAAACATCCTAATGCTGACATACTCCCTGAGCATCACCCCCTACTCAAAACTTGGCAGGATCTTCCTAAAGTCATGAGACTCGGTGAGGCTTCCCAGGGTGAACACGCTAAATCAAAATTGCCCAGCGCTGAAAGTGAATAAGACCGACTTACCACCCTTGCCAATGTGTCCCAAGTTCATCAGTGGTGTGGAATATTTGTTTGTGCTGTGCCTAGGCTAGCGTCGTGTTTGAGTAGCTGCCACTTCACGGTGTAAATGTCGTTGGGTGTTGTGAACCACCCAGAGAGCGCCGCTGGTTGGGAGGTTGTGCGCTTTATTCCGTCCGCAAGATTCACGCCCGCGCGCTCTTTCGCCACTCAGTAAACGTCCGGGAGCCAACCCCACACCACCCTGGTCGCTTCCACTTGTGTCCGTGCACATGGGGGCGGAGCGGTGGCGCAGCAGTTAGCACGCTGCACTACGAACCCTGCTGTGTAAACATCACCGCGAGGGAGACAAAGGCGGCCGGACGTGGTTGATTCCATCCACCCCTGGTGCTGTGCCGACCTTCATAGGTACCACTCGCTCGCAGCACTTGCCCCGACAGTCTGTTAAGGCTATACGGGGTTGCCAGCACACTGAATGTCTTGGTGCTGGAATGAGTTGCCTGGCCGCCTTTGTCTCCAATGCTGTTTACACACTGCACCAGATATGTATTTGAGGCTGAGTCGACCTAGGGGAGGCAGAGGATGGATTAAGATGTCACCGGTGTTGGCGTCGAGCTGAGAGCGAACTCGGGTTGCCGGGATAGTAGCGCAATGCATTAACCCGCTACGCACGCACACACAATGGGAGAGGTACCTACAACCAGACGTGCAGAAATTCTCTGCAGCATTCATTTCACGCTAGCAAATATACACACACATCACCGTGATAAATTATACAAGCAGCGCACTTCCAAGCATTGGGATGATTGCTTTCTCTCTATAGATCTCTCCAGCCGTCTCTCGCCGCCCCAACAGCACCACTAGAATGTACATCCAACGTTGCTGTTAATGAGTGCACAGGCGGTGCAACTGCACCAGCTCTGCAGCGGGTGCCAGATGCCTGGCTACAAGATTCTGAGGGGAGGAGTTAATTAGACCGGGTCGGTTGTGGGGGCCCGTCCGTGGGAATAGTGGTCTGGGTCCTGCACCGCACACGGTGGTCAACGTCAATCGGCCGTCGGCGAATGGGCTTCGATGTCCTCACGACGGCGATCTCCAACGATTCTCTACGATCCCGAACACCGGCCAGCGTCGTGGCGCAACCGCCGCCGCCTTCCTGCCGCCACAACTCCGACCTCCCGACCCCCAGGGGCTGGACACCCCGAGAAGCCCCCTCGCTCCTACTCAGGGGGCACCGCCCTCTTCCATCCACAGTAGCGCAGAGGAGGCGGACGAGGCAGGGGAGCTGGCCGCCAGGCGGCGGTGGATGCGACGCAGACGGAGGAGGTACAGCAAGATGGCGAGAGCGACGACGAGGAAGCAGGCGGAGAAGAGGTGGGGGTTGTAGAGGAAGGAGGAGTAGCGGCGCCATGGGGAGCGGGGCCCACGTGGCCCCTCCCCCACTCCCTGCTGCTGGTTCATGTCCCTGTGGGGTGGTGAGCAACGACGACGATGATGATGATTACCCGTTTATAAAAACCCTCAACGCACAGGCTCTGCACTGCACCCAGTTCCGTGTGCCCCGTGCTCGCCGCGGGTCTCAGTGCGGCACAGTCGGCTATGTACAGTGCGAAATGAGTTCAACATGCATACCTGAGTGGTAAGAAGCGTGTGCGGTAGAGGATGGCTCCCAGCGTCCACTGCACCTCCTTGTCGTAGACTAGCTGCGCGGTGCGGAGCCCAGCGTAGCTCTCAGGGAAGCCCAGGCCGGAGTGCAGCATCTCGTAAACCCACGCCGACTTGAAGCACTGGTACCTGCGTCGCGCCGGTGGTGGTGGTTACAACGCTCTGCCGAGGAACGCCCAATGACTTTTATACTTTGCCATCGTAGCGCCCCTAGTGGACACGGCTGTCAACGCCAGTTCATTCGTCTACGCATCACTGCCGTCGGCCATGACCAATCCACTGCTGGATCAAGGCCTCCCCAAGGCATAACCATCCCTCTGGATCCTGCGTCTCCTTCCCGGCACGTCCCACCGTTGGCTGCCGCCACCTTCCCACGCGTCCGGCCCATGCCCACACGCAGTGTGCGACGGTCAATGTCACGGCGACGTCTCTAGCCTGCACGCGTTCCTGCGTCTGGCACGGGGGATTAATTCACAGCGTGCGTCTCTCCTTGTTCCTGTGTGCACTGTCGGTGTACCCTCGTGCGTGCGTCGGGAGCACAGCTCCATGCCACTCACTTGAGGCGGTGCGTGTCGGCGTGCGGCGAGTAGAGTTTGCGCTCAAAGCGCTCCACCAGCGTGCCCCAGCGCGTTGCACAGTACTCCTGCCGGCAGAGTACATGCAGCACGCGGTGTTCAGCTTACAGAGCACGCAATGCGCAGGCTGCGGTGCGCAGGAAATAGCACAGCACGAAACATTCAGGTGCACAGCATAAAGCGTGCACAGTACATAGCGCGGAGAGCACAGTTATACATAGCACATGCATCGCATACAAGATTTGGCCATGAGGCAGCCCCACCAAAAAAATCAATGACGAATCAAAATACGGGTGACAAAAACCCATAGCCGACTCACGAATAGAATATATAGCACAGGGCATAGCACAAGCATGAGACCGGACGAGTGAATCGTTACATCATCGCAAGCCAAATCACTATCACTGACAAACTTGTGAGGCCCTCACCGCGGCGGCCTTGGCGTATCTGCGGGCGTCGTAGGCCCCGCCGATTCTCAGCACGTCCTCGGTGCAGTAGTAGAACTCGGAGAAGCCGTAGAACTCCCCGGCGCCGGCAAGAGCCGGCAGGTCCAGGGGCGGCCGCAACGCACCGGTCAGGAAGGGCCGCACGGCCGCCCGGCACCCATCAAAGTCTCCGGCGCCACGCAGGAGCAGTCGGCGAGAGGGGGTGCCCCCCCCGGCCCCCCCTCGCCGCTCCACCGTGTCCGCCGCCTCCGCCGGGAGGCAGGGGTCGTCCACGAGGGGGGGGGCCGGGGCGCCCCCCACCGCGGGGACGAGCGCCACGGACGGAGACGCCCGCACAGCGGAGGCGCTGGGACGGCACGACGGGTGGACGAGTTAATGAGTGGGTGGGTGGGTTGGTGAGTGGGTGGACGAGTTAATGAGTGACGTAGTGAGTGGGTGGGTTGGTGAGTGAGGTAGTGAGTGGGTGGGTGGGTTGGTGAGTGACGTAGTGAGTGGGTGGGTGGGTGAGTGACGTAGTGAGCGGGTGGGTGGGTTGGTGAGTGACGTAGTGAGCGGGTGGGTGGGTTGGTGAGTGACGTAGTGAGCGGGTGGGTGGGTTGGTGAGTGACGTAGTGAGTGGGTGGGTTGGTTGGTGAGTGACGTAGCGAGTGGGTGGCGGGGCATGTTGTGAGCTGCAGTATGGTTGTTGAACACAGTCCGGCAGACCAAATCTTTGCCATGGGCAGAAGAATCAATGAGTGATGTTCACAGGAATGTTCACAATGGCAGTAGTAACTATAAAACTGACCGCGAGTAAATCGGTGCCAGACCATTGATCACCCGGACTGCTGCCTCATTGAACGCTTCCCAGTGCAATGTGACCGCAACACCCACGCTCCCTGAAGGGGGGCCCACACCTTCCCTTGACCACGCCAAACCGGAATCCCTCATTGGGATTCCGGTTTGGCCCTACGAGGAGGACGTGCCGTGCACGACCGGTTCACTCAAGGCAAGGAAGCCCGTGTTTAAACACCCGGTCACGCGTGTTTAAACACCCGGTCACGCGTGTCAGGAATGAGTGCGAGCATCTCGCACACTCGTACACCTGCTGGTGCTCACTCGCTCAGACGCGCAACGTAGACTTGCACACGTTTAGATCTACTCGGTCACACTCTGCGCAATCACTTGCGCGTCCTCTTGCTCGCACACTCGCGACGCCACCTTGCTCACCGCGCGGTTCCGTTGTCGCCGTTCAGCGCCGCGGCGGCGTCGGTCGCGTTGAGCAGCGCCTGCTCGTAGCGCTGGCGCACGGCGTTGGCACCCGAGCCCAGGAAGGTGGTGACGAACACGCGGTAGATGTGCTGCGTGTGGTGTTCGTCGCAGCCCAGGTTGAACTCGGCCAGGGACGACTTCGCGATCTCCTCCTGAGACACGCGCAGACAAAGGTGCCCCCCCCACCTGTGTAGCCTTCACAATCCTGCAGGGGAAAGTGCCGTTGGGGGGCAGCGCCTGCAACAACTGGCACGGTGCACCCACGAGGAGGAGGAGGGGGGGGGCGGTGGGGCCGACACCGCTCCTGGCCACCGTTGTCAAAGTACTCAAAGTCGACATTCAGCCCAGGAACCACTTCGGATATTCGTCACCGACGTTGGCCGTGAGCGGGAATCCAACTCGGGTGACCGAGTTGGCTGCAAGCAGGCGACTGTGCGGCCACGCGAGACCGGACGGTCGCGGCCGCGTGCGGTTGGCGTTACTCGCGAGCGAGTTGCTCGCGCAGCAATTTACGCAACGGGGGCAACTATGAGGAGGGAGGAGGAGGAGGAAGATGAGGGTAGGCCTCCGCTAAACGCCGTGGCACGCAAGCGGAGAGGCAGCACGTGCAAGTGGCCGGTAAGCGATGGGATGGGGGCGGGGGGGGGGGGGGTCGCCACCTGCCCGGGTTTGACCGACTGGACACTCCAGGAATTGGCGTCTGTGTTGGGGTGGCGAACCCAGTTGTACCGAGATCCGGTGCCTGCATTGCCGGTGCCAGCATTGCCGTGGACTTTAATGCAAAAGACCGCACAATGTTGATGATAGCCCCAGGCCAAGAAACATGTCTGGGTTTGGTCACCGGAAAAGGTAGCGACCCTTAGGGTAGGCGAGTAAGTGGTTAGGGGAGGGTGGTAAGCAGCTGTGGGAGAGTGTGTTTGTGCAAGTGGTGGTGCGTGTGTGTGCGGGGGGGGGGGGGGGGCACGTGTGAGCATGTGTGGTGGGGGAGAGACGAGGAAGGAAAGGAAGAGGAGGGCTAGTGACCTGTGCGGTGCCGCTGCCGAAGCTTACGCTCTTGGGAACTTCGTACGCGACCTGCGTGGACGCGCCGCCCATGTCCAGGATCCCCACGGTGCGCTTCCTGCCCCCGCCCGCGTGGGGGGCCCCCCCGCCGGGTCCCACCGCCTCCTCCCCCTCGTCTGGGCCATTCGCAGGTCACAATGAGAGGAACGGAGGTGAGAGGACACAACAAGGCACAGAGACCTATCGACAGATTCAGAGACCCATAAACTAACACGGAGACCCAAAGACAAGGATTTGCACATATAGGGCACTTACTTGAAGGCTTTCGCATCTCAACGCTTCTTAGATCTCGTCTCAACCATTCCATTTCCCTGGAGCAGTCTAGCCTAGGGGACCCCCAGTGGCAGCTATCCCAACTTGACATAAGTTGTACGCAGCACTGGCCTGCAAGTGGGAATCTGGCAGGCATTTAGCTCCCTAACATCTTGCCATACGCAAGAACAAAATAGTCTGTTAGGGGGAAATGTTGCCGAGTGTTTTTTTTCCAATTCAAATTATTTGCGGTGTAATTTTTCAAATGTGGTCAATTTTCACCAGGATGCCAGTGCCCATCGTGGTTCGGATAACATAACGGGATCTGTAACATCTATTGTGAAGCAGACAGCGCACAGTATTTATACGGTTAATACTGCAGTGTTAACCAGGGCGGCCTGCCACAGCCTCACCGTAAACCTCCGCAACGAGCGGCGAGCACGCCACCACCGGGCCGCGTCGCCTACGAACAACTGACGATGATTCCGGTGTTGGTAAAGAATGTTAGGAATGACGACGACGACCGATAGCGATGACGCCGGGCAAATCCTCACCCTCCTCCTCTTCCTCCACGTGATTGAAGCGATCCAGAACAAAGTTGATGCCAATCCACGCGTACACACCTGAGACACACACGCGCACACACATACCACAATAACTCGCGCACATACAACCAACTGGGTTGGCACCACTGCATGAGATGCGTGAGCCAGTGACCTCACCCTCCTGCTTGCCCGAGATGACCTCGACGTGCGAGTCGGAGAAGAGGAAGTCAAACTCGAGCGGGATGTCGGTGCGCAGGTCCTCCAGGATTGCCTCCTGCAGACTGCAGAGACAGACAGTGAGACACAGTGGTACGGTGCACTCACCTCCAATAAAGGTACACTGCTATTCACTAATGGTACAGTCCACTCTTCTAGTAATGGAATAGTCTACTTTGAATGGCATTGGAAACGCCACTCACAATCCCGAAGACACGGTCGAGTGTGCATGTACAAGAGACACGTACACCCACAAACTAAAATAACAGCCGCCATTCACCACTAAGTGGTGGTGACGTCACCACAGCACTTGTACCGGGCTAGGTGCATTTTGAGGCCCTTGAGTGAAGTGTTAAAGGCTCACTACTGGCAGCGAGTCGATGTTGGGCATGAATGGAACTCGAGTTCATCGTGCAGTTCGCGAACCACCTTGCCTACCGCTCCCCACACACACAAGACACACGCAGACACGCACGCCGCAGTAGCAGCAGCAGGCATCACCTGTCGGGCAGCAACCTCATGCCGGCAGTGCACAGGATGTAGAGCGGCGTCTCCCTGTGCTTGCCCAGGGGGATGTGCGACGCCGCAAAGCTGAGCAGCGGCCGGATGTAGTCGCTCGCCTTCTCGGGGCTAGGAGCCAGCGTGGAGATCCCTACCACAGCACGGCACGACAGCACAACATAGCATACAACATAGCACACAGCAAGGCACAATGCAGCACAACACCGGTGGGGCGAGCGCTGAATATGAAAGAGGACAATGAATGGACCGTGCCGATGCCGACAATGACCCCAACACGGCCGACCCGGTGCTGCCGGGCACTCACCGGGCTTGATCTTCTTCACCACGGGGTTGCGACTGCGGTCTCGCATCTGCCGGATGTCGAGTAGGTCGTGCGGGTTGCCATTGTGCGGCGGCCACACGTACACGAAGACACGCGTGCCGCTGCTACCGCAGTCCACCACCACGCCGTACGACAGCGCCGCGTCCAGCGTGTCCGTGGCCTCCGCCTGCAGCATGTGCTCCAGGAACCTGCACGCACCATCACCACGGTGACCACCATCGGTGACCACCACCGGTGACCGCTACCACCGGTGACCGCCACCACCGGTGACCGCCACCACCGGTGACCGCCACCACCACCGTTGTCACCACCGTCATCACTTTCACCACCGGTGACCGCCGCCGTTGTCACCACCGTCATCACTTTCACCACCGGTGACCGCCGCCGTTGTCACCACCGTCATCACTTTCACCACCGGCGGCGTCTGCATAACCATTACCATAACCACTACCTCCAATATCACCACCACTGTCAACGTTACCACCACATCCCATCAGCCACATGGCGTTCCTTCTGGGAGTGCACCTTAGTAGCATTGGTTCAACACAACCAAATTCTGGACTGGTTTCTACATCGAGTGTCTCATCAATGCTCGTGATGGTAATAGTTAACTTTCCATTACTTCACGGCACACACCCTCCCCAGACCCTCCATTATATTACCACAATCTCCTCCGCCGCCTCGTCTTTAATATTTCACAAACGCTTTTACTGCCCGGGCGGAGAGCGATCGCGAGCGCCGTGCCAAACTCCGACGTGGCACTGGCAGCAGCTGCCACGTCACACAACAGCGACACCACTCGCCCAGCCACTCGCCCAGCCACTCGCCCAGCCACTCGCGAGACCGCTCATGCAGCCACTCACCCACCACTCGTACCGCCAGCCACTCCAGCGAGCGCTCGAGTGGCCGGGTGCCGGTTGTCGTTAATACGACGGCACGTGCGTCGCGGTGCTGTTCAGACAGCCGGCGGCCATTCAGCCGGCTACTCGAGCGCAGCACGGACTCTGGTACCGCGTGTGCCCGTTGATCCCCCCCCCCCCCCGGCTCCCACCTCTCAAGGGCACGGCTCTCCGTGCGCTGCGCGCCGGCCGAGTGCGCCGCCCCCAGCACGTAGAGGCCGCACAGCAGCACCAAAGCGGCCAGCGCCAGCAGCAGCGCCAGCAGCCTGCGTGGCGCGGGGGGCGCCCCGCCTGCCCCCCCCGCTCCCAGGCAGCACGAGGAGATGGCGGTGGCGGCGCCCGGTGGCGCTCGCGGAACGGCGGCGGCGGCGCACGCGGCGCAGCTGAAGTGCCACGAGGCCGGCAGCCGGCACCATGAGAAGAGCCTGAGGGAGATGAGTGTGGATGGAGTGAGGAGGAAGGAGACGTGAGGTTGCGAGTTAAAATCCTGCTTGGGGAGGGGGGGGGTGCGGGTGCTGTGTGTAATGGGTTGTGTGTGTAATGTCTTTGTTGTTGGTGTATAATTAGTTGTGCACGTAACAGGTTTTGTATCATTTTGATGTGTGCATGTGCAATGGGGTGTATGTATAATGAGTTGTGTGTGATGTGTTGTGTGTATGCGTACACGGTGTTGTGTAATGTGTACAAGTGCGTGCGTCCACGCGTACCAGCACCTGGCCATAAGCATCAATCAGCTGCTCCCCCCCAGCAACACTCGCCGTGTAGCCTGTGCCTCATCACTCCGCACCGCCTGGGCCTCCCCACGGCATCGCCACCGCGTCTGAGTACAGACCAACATCATCACCATCAGCATTACTCACCCCATCATCACCAGCAGCCTTATTCTCATCAACACATTTTCTATCGCTACCATCAGTACAATCCTGTCATCACGCGTGACATCATATCCATCTCCAAGATAACACCAACATCATCGTCATTATCACTAAAGTCTTGCAGGAGCAGGCTGTGGGGTGGATGCCGTGCAGGATATACGTAGTAGCTGTTGTAATGTCTTTGACAGCATCATAATCATCATTATTAACAGCATAGCCAACAATATCAATATAACCAGAACCCTATTGAAAATATCATTACCACCACTAGCATCAATTAAATAGTCATAACTGTCATGATTAACATCACCCTCATGAATAACATCACAAAAACATCACAATATCAGCATTAATATCATCATCAACATCCTCCCCAGCGTCACCAATATTGTGACACGAACTCCACCAATAAATCCACCACCACCACCGCGCCTCTGGACAGCGTCACAACTCGAAAGGCCACCACCACCACCACCACGCCTCTGAGCGGCATCACAACTCGAAAGGCCACCACCACCACCACGCCTCTGAGCGGCATCACAACTCGAAAGGCCACCACCACCACCACCACGCCTCTGAGCGGCATCACAACTCGAAAGGCCACCACCACCACCACCACGCCTCTGAGCGGCATCACAACTCGAAAGGCCACCACCACCACCACCACGCCCCTTGAGCGGCATCACGGCCACGCGTCACCGCACCTCCAGCTGCGCGGTTTCCCACCGCGTCACTCGATTACAGCGCAAAGTCAACAGCGCACACGCACACACACAGCGTACACACAGCGTACACACAGCACACGCACACACACAGCGTACACACAGCACACGCACACACACAGCGTACACACAGCGTACACACAGCACACGCACACACACAGCGTACACAGCACACGCACACACACAGCGTACACACACACATCACACAAGGGAAAGGTCCCCCGTGTAGGCGACGCGGACGTTCGAGGGCAAGTGTTTTTTAGCGAGCGCATATTAACGCACAAAGAGGTGGAATGGCCAGCACCAATATCCTGGCTGGCCGCCTTTGTCTCCCCAGTGCTAATGTTTGCTACATGGCGCGCTGGGTATTCATTCAAAGATACAGTACAAGCACACATTACATAGTACTGTACTTGGCGACACGTGTAACCAAGTGCAGTGTGTACAGTGCACACACGAGTACAGTCGACCCATGATCGCCGATACCCGGACATGAACCCCTCTGGCTCCGCGTCTGGGTCAGTACGGAAGAGGAGGCCAAGCACCGCCAGAGCTCAGTCGAGCAGTGCGGGCCCGACCGCCGCCAGCAGTGGCGTCGAGCGGCTATTGCAGCGCTGCGCCGTTCACGTTCGAGCTGGTCGACTGCGCGTACACACAGCCATGTACACACGCCATGTACACACGTCATGTCCACACGGTACTACACAGCCATGTACACACGTCATGTCCACACGGTACTACACAGCCATGTACACACGTCATGTACACACAGCCATGTACACACGAGACGCGCTCGGAAAGTAACCCAACTGCACTCACACGCAGCCGCGTACAGTGCGCGTACTGTACACATACTGCACGTACAGTGCGTGTACAGTAGCGAAGTGCGCAGGCGAGCAACTCCGCTCATTTATCCGCCGCCTCCGCGGTGGTCGCCCCGCGCGACCCGCGGTCGCCACTCACCCCACGGCAGCAGCGCCTCCTCCTCCTCCTCGCCGCCTCCTGCCGCACGCCCAGGCGACGGCCACTGACCAACACGACGCACGCAGCCTCGCTGGCCGGCGTCGTTAAGGAGCAGCAGGAGGAAGAGCAGCAGGAGGAGGAAGCAGAGCGGCAGCAGCAGGAGGAGGAGGTCGAAGAAACGAGGAGTCGGCCTCCCCCACCTCCTCTTAGCCGGGATGCCGTAAAGGAGCTCACGGCGCTCAGCACGACCACTTCGCGACACTTCACGACCGTGTGGACACGTGTCGCTGGGAACACTGGGAGGCGACCGGCTGCGGTGGGGAAACTCGCTTCGCTGCTGCACCGATGCTGAACTTGACATCGATTAAATACAAAAAACTCCTTTAAAAAGTTTTTTTTAAGCAACTTTTTTATTAACAACTTCGTTTAACTCACGGTCGAGAAGTGCGTCAATGATGCGGTGCCTGATCCACATCAACGCTTTTACTTGAATTAATTGATTACTTCCGCAACTCGTTGACACGGAGCGTGCGGCCTGGGACACCGCGTGGCGCCTGCTTCTTGGGCGAGGCGATTCCAGAGTTTAGGGACCGCGGCGTTTTTGACGTACACAAATAAATATTTAATTAATAAGCCGTCCATACAAAATGCGAATTGCTTTAAAAGAGCCAATTCATTTATCAATCGATGTCTCCGGAGTACGTGTGCAACATGGTCTATTCATTGGACAACAGGAAGTAGACTACATTTAGATTGCAAGATTTGACCACGACAAACATAGGAGTCAAGTTAAGTAAAACCGTTGAAAAAAGCCCGGCGTTCCGTTTGTCTGTCAACAACAACTATTATTCTTAGAGCCTTTTAGAAGGCCTGAACCAAAAAGTTATAGAAAGTCGATCCCCTCCCCGAGATGTGGGGGTAAAAATTTCATCCAACAGCTCTCCAGAAATTGTCGACCCCCCCCCCAAAAAAAAGAAATGTATTTTGTAGGCAAGTAACCCCCAACACACCCGATATAGTATACAGTACCTACACACCCGATATAGTATACAGTACCTACACACCCTACATAATATACAGTACCTACACGCCCTATATATACAGTACCTACACACCCGATATATACCTACACACGCGATATAATAGATACCTACACACCCGATATAATGTCCCTACACACCCTATATAATATATATACCTACACACCCTATATAATAGATACCTACACGCCCTATATATACAGTACCTACACACCCTATATAATATACCTACACACCCTATATAATAGATACCTACACACCCATATAATGTCCCTACACACCCTATATAATATACCTACACACCCTATATAATAGATACCTACACACCCGACATAATGTCCCTACACACCCTATATAATATACAGTACCTACACACGCGATATAAAAGTAGCTGCACACATGACGGGGGAGAAGAGGACATCAGTGGGGGCGACGAGTTCGAATGTCGGCCTTAGTGCTGCGTGGAAGCGAATCGTCAAATAATACATTCTTTAAATACATGTCTATAAAGGGCAGCATACTTCAACAGGGATTACCGTTGGTAGGGCTATTTTAATACACACAATAGACAGGAAGGACACGATCAAAGGGCTCGCATAATGCACGTGCATCATGTACGTTGACTCGGCAATCCCTTCCCACGTTGTGCAAGAGCGCAGAGCGGGGTCGCCACATCTGCGCCTCTGTATAAGGAGTGAAACAGGTGGAGGACTTCTCCACAAATCGGGCTGTCGCCTGATGAAGCCAGTTGTAATTACTGGCGAAACGTCGTACTCAGATTGTGAATGTCGTGGCTTGGCTCTCCAACACACCGGTGTGCTGCTGTACTAGTGACGAATTGGCCACGTTCTGTTTACGTGACAACCCTTACTAGTTGGCTGTGTCGGGTGGTGGCGGGTTTTAACGACACATTTATATATTTACGCGATTTCACCCAAAAAAAACCTCTATTATGAACGAAATAATGATTTACACATCTCATCGAGCACGCGGCTTTCCGTTTGAATGTGAATATTTTTTAAATTATGGTTGAACCAATGATGGGCCCTCCCAGGTGTGTATAAAGGCGATGACCCACTGCCCTGTGTTGACGCAATGCTGCTGGGGGTCATGCACTCCAAGAAGGAAGGCCGTGGTGCTGATGGGATGTGTTAAACATACCTTCATACGTGTTTGTAGAGGGACAGCTGTGGAAAGTGCATTGTGTGGTGTGTTCAAGTCAGGTGCAGTTGCCATTCGCCCCGAATGCGCCCGGTCTCGTCTGATCTGGGCAGCTCAGCTTGGATGGGAGGCTGTATGGGAACACCAGGTGTTATAGGCTTGTGCTGTGAGATGGCCAGAGATTATGGCGGTGCAGCAATGAATGTTATATATATATGTGTGGAGCTCCGAGTGTGTGCGTCACCTCTGGGTCCTTCGCTTCTCCTCCTACATGCAAATTCATGATGAGTGTGTGCGTCTCTCTGTGTACCATGCTTTGTGTATCTTTGTGTCCGAATCCTTGTTTTTTCTGTCCGTGTGTGTCTGTCAGTTTCTTTGTGTCTCTGGGTGTCTGTATATACGTGTGGTGTGTTTGTCTCTTGTCTTTGTTTGTGTCTATGTGTGTATCTTTGTTTTCGTAATATATGTATTTGTGTGCGCTTGTGTGTGTGTCTGCCATTCGCCGTGTGCGTCTGTCTCTCTGTCACACCCGGTGCGGTGGGTAAACATCGGCGCTGGGGAGACAAAGACGGACCGCCCTGTGCGTTGTGTGCGTGCTCGCTCACGACACTCGCCTCCACGGATGTGTGAGCGTGTCCGTGGTGGGGCCTGACCATCAGCCCCAGAGTGTCCGATGGTGAGTGTCCGATGTACCATCGGACACTCCACCCACACAACTCCCAATCGGTGATGGGGCAGTTGTGGAGAGAGTGGAGAGTTTACCATACCTGGGCAGTGTGCTTATGACCGGCTCCGGTTTGACAGCAGAGGTCTCACTCCGAATCAGTCGAGCGGCATTATCTTTTCATCGGTTGCGTAACGCTGTGTGGAAGCTACCTGGTCTCTCGCTCCACACGAAGCTTCAGGTCTTCTCGGCCACGGTCATTCCCTCCCTTCTCTACGCTTGCGAAACGTGGACCCCCCTAGTGGAGCATCTTCGCCGGTTAGAAACATTTAGGCTGGCCTGCCTACGATCCATCCTGGGTTTAACCTGCAGGCTGGATTGTGTGAGGAGCTCACAAATCCTTGAAAGATCTGGACAAAGTCCCATCGGTGAGCTCCTCCGGCAGGCAAGGCTACGTTGGCTGGGTCATGTAGCCCGCATGCCCAGCCACCGCATGCCTCAACAGCTTTTGTTCGGCCGGATCGAGGGGGCTAGACGGGCGCGGCACGGGCTAGAGAAGAGATGGAGTGACGTGGTAAAGGAGTACGTGGAGCTGAGTGGACTTGCTGATGACTGGTACCAGCGGTGTCAAGATCGGCCTCATGTGGAGGAGGCTCGTGAAGGACGCTACTGGGCAGTTGGAGGCAGTCGCCCTCCAACAACAACGGAGGGCGGAGGAGCGACGCTCACAACAACGAGCAGAGTGCCGGGTGGATAAAGCACAGCAAGTTGACACAGTAGGGGGCACAGGTGGTGCATCAGCCAGTCATCTCGGTCATCTCAGTCAGTCGACCCGTGGCACCTGCTGGGTCTGCCCCGTGACCTCCTGCCAGCGGGCGTTCGACACTTCACGTGGCCTCAAGGTGCACATGGCCTGGCACAAGCGTCGTGGTGACGTCACCGCCACTTAGTGGCGAATGGCGGTTGTTGTTGTGTTGTTGTTGTGTTGTTGTTGTGTTGTTGTTGTGTGCCTGTGGCGTCGCTAGGCGGCGCAGTTGAGGAGCGCACCACGCGGTTTGTGAGCAGAGCTCGAGCGACGGAAGCGGAGTGGGGTGGACTCGAGGACGACTCGAGGCGTCGCGCAGCAGGGCAGTCTCACGGTCATCGCGCCCGCCGGGAGACGCGAGCGGGGCCCGGGCGGCAGCAGCAGCAACAGCAACAACAGTAGCAACAACAACAACAGCAACAACAGCAGCTCGTCCGGGCCTCGGCGATGGCTGCCGGGCGAGACTAACGACGGAGCGGCGGTGGAGGATCGGATCGCGTTCGAGATACGGGACGGCCACCCTGGTGGAGATGGAGCGATTCAATTGGAGAGGGGTCGCTGGGTGGATTGTTACGTCGCAGGGTCGTGAGAGGCGGCAGCGGCTTGGGGAAGCCCTCATCCAGAAGTAGATAGACCACGGCTGATGACGATGATGCGCCACAGTGGTGCGAGAGGAATGTCTCCTGGCATCGTGATCAATAGTTGTGCCATGATAACCGGTTTGTCCGGTTAATCGGCGATCGGTTATGCAAAATCACATTTAACACCCCTAGTTCTGTGCAGGTCCGATGTGGGAGGTTAAAATCACGGGGGAGCCGATTGAGAACTAAACCTGCCCCCCCCTACACACACTTATGGAGAGCCCCCCTAAAAAAGAGTTCTTGTTTTATCCGTGTATGGTGTTTGTGTTTCTGTGTCCTGCATTGCGTCTTCTCTGTGTCTGTCTCTACCCGTGTCCCGTCTCTCCACGTCTGCGTGTCCCGTCTCTCCATCTCTCTGTTCAAGTGGCTGTGTCTCCATGTCTCTGTGTCTCGGTGTCTCTGTGTCCCCATGTCTCTGTGTCTCGGTGTCTCTGTGTCTCCGTGTCTCTGTGTCTCCATGTCTCTGTGTCTCTGTCCCTGTCTCCACACACCTCTCTCTTTCCATGTCCGTGTGTCTCTGTGTCACTTCACGGACTCTCTCATCCGTGTGTCTCTATCGCCTATCCCTGTCTCTCTATCTCTCGCCAATGTCTGTGTCACCCTCTCGGCGGTGTCTCTTTGGCGGTCGAGAAGGAACCACGTGCCGCTGGTGCTAATGAACTTCTTTCGCGCCGTACGTAGCCAACGACAACAAACAACACAAAACGCAATTTGAAAGAAATGAGTTTTCAATCTAAGAGATTAGTTTTCAAACTGCTCTCTGCTCTGCTTATCGCGGATAAGGCATCGCCACCTTGCCTAAGCGTGGCGCCACTCTGCATCTCGGTGTCTCCATCACGAGAGAGGAGATCGGGGGCACAAATCGCCGACACATACAGTTCACGTCCTTGCACAATTCCCCCATCCC